AGTAGTACAGTTCCCTGCAGTCCACCTCCAAACCCAGGGTCACAGCCTAGACCTGGGCGGAAGCTAGAAGAGTCCACAATCCCTTCCTTGCGCTTAAAACTATCCCGCAAGCGCAGTCGGCCTCAGAAAAAGCCACACCCTTTCCCGGCATCTCCTCCCCTTCTACTGTCTCCCACCAACCCTAGAGAGGCAGACTCTCGGCCAATAAGAAGAGGTCTTAGGCGAGCGCTGCTGTTCAGCCAGCCAATAGATGAGCAGCTGGAGCCGGGCTTGCCCCGGCAAGTAGGAGCTGCCTGTTAGGGATCCACGTGTGGGCCAGAGAAGACTCAGGCTTTAGGTGAGTTGCGGACTTCCGCGCGGTGGCCGGGTGGGCTGGTGCGGTTGTGTCTGTCCCCCGGTCTGAGTTGGGGGACGTCCAGCCTCTATCAGTCCGTCTGTCCTGGCCGGCGAGTTCACAGGCCGGACCCTCGTCCCCGGCCTGCTGGGGCTTACGTAGGCGGCGCTGGGCACTGAGGCTGGGCCTGACCGGCACTGGCGTCACTTACACCGAGTCCTAACTCGGTGAGGTCAGGCCTCACGTACCACTCATTGGAGAACGCCAGCCAGAGATCGCATGGCGCTGTCAAACTTTTTAATAGTACAGACATGTAAATGGAGCCAGGTTATCTTAAATTTGGGGGCTCCCATCCCCAGATCAGAACCATGGGATCCGGGGTCGGTCGCTCACGTTCTAGTTTAAAATACAGACTCAGCTCCGAAGCTGTAGGGGTGGGTGGGGCCTAATAGTTACTGCGCCCTAATGGTCACTGGAGTCGGAACCGATCCAAGGTACTTACCAACAATAGTCACTGGTGTGGCGCTGTGGGCTAATGCGTCAGACTGCAAAGTTGGCAGTTCAAGCTCACCAGCTGCTCCTTGGAAACCCTCTCTATACAGGGTCGCTTTGGGTCAGGAGCTCTGGTAGCGTAGTGGTTATGAACCAGGCTACTAACCTCAAGGTCAGTAGTTCGAAACTACCAGCTGTTCCACGGGAGAAAGAGGAGGCTTTCTGCTCCCGTGAAGATTTGCAGCCTCTGAAACCCTGTGCAGGGTCACTAGGAGTCGGAACCGACTCCACGGTACTTAACAAATACAATACAAAAATGGGTCTTAACCGACTTGACAGCAGTCACTGACAATGAACTGAGCTGGGAGCCCTTAGCCTAGTTCAAGTCCACGGTACTTAACAAATACAATACAAAAATGGGTCGGAACCGACTTGACAGTAGTCACTGACAATGAACTGAGCTGGGAGCCCTTAGCCTACCTAGTTCAAGGCTTTCGGATTTTGGGAAGGGGCAGCGGCCTTCCCCGCTTCGTCATACTACTGAGGGCCCAAGCACGCTCTAGAACTGCCTTGCTGATCAGCCAGCAGGCCCCAAGCCACTGGCGATGATGGTATTCTGGTTCCTGTGGGGCCTTGCCTTGGAGTGGGGCCCCCTGCCCAAAGATCCCGTGTCTCTTGATGCCCAGAGCTCTGCTTGGGTCTGGTGGAGAGAGATTGGTACTTTTGCTCTTGTTGAACCAGTTGTTTGAGAGAACTCTTTTCCAGCTTCACTCCTCCATAACTTGCAGTTGTGACATTGGTCAGCAAGGTCTGGGCATCGGTCATCGCTGGAAACACGAGGCTGAAGAGACTTTTTCTCAGGGAACCCTAACTTCTGGTTTCTTGGACACCTTGTGGGTAGAATTGGGTAAAGCCACCAACTCAAGTTCTGGCCCAGTTCCTGACCTAGGGCGCCCCCTCAGCCTCTCTTAAAGATGGAAGGGGAAATAGATATATTTATACGGATAGAGTCATGTACCTCAAGTGCTTATTCGTCCTTGGCCCCATAAGGCTATAATGTTTTTGCTAGTCAGTTTCAACTCAGCAATCCTCCATATGTTCCAGAGGAGCGACTAGTGGGTTTGAACTGCTGGCCTTTTGTTTAGCAGTCCTGTGCTTATCCTACAGCGCCACCAGTTCAGAGATCCTAATCCAAGAACAGGACATAGTGATTGCAACACATGTACCTTATGTCTCGTGTACAAAGATTGCTCTACCTGGCATATAATGGTGCAGTACATGCATTGTCCTGGTGTGGCGCTGTCGGATCAGCACTGGTCGGCCAGCCACAAGGTCAGCACTCAAACTTTTCGGAAACCCTATGCAGGGTGGCTCTGAGTTGGAACGGACTCAACGGTAATTAATTTATAATCTATAATTCATGTCTTCATAGTCATAATAAACTGTACTTTCTATTGTTATTTTAATGTGATCTTTCCCAAATTATAAATAAAACAGTAGCGCTATGGGTTAATGCGCCAGACTGCAAAGTCGTTTGAACTGCAAGTTCGGCGGTTCAAGCTCACCAGCTGCTCCTTGGAAACCCTATACAGGGTCGTTGTGGGTCTGAACCGACTCGACGGCACTTAACAACATACAACAGTGTATGCTTGAACTCAGGCAGCATCCATGTGTCTCTTGAGTGCTGTGGTATTGTCTTTATGTTTAATTTCTTTCAAAAATATTTCTGAACCAGTACTAGTGACAGCTAAACTGCAGGAAGATAGAAAACCAGTGAATGTTATTACTCACAATTTAGGCATGTTCACAGTGTGTCCAAGTCATGTAACTTTCTTTTTCACAGAACATATTGTGGACATTAAGCAACACACAACTTTCATAGCTAACAGAAGTTAGTAGCAGTCGTGTTCTGCTCGTTGCTGGGCTGTGGTAAACTGAGATTCTGTATTTGTCAGCTCTGATAGAAAGGTTTCAAGTTAGAGGCCCTTTAATGGGGGAAGGGAAAAGCAAGCAGAGGGCAGATGAGTCAGAATGGGTCACCATGTGTCACCCTGGCCTAGGGTGTCAGGCCCTGCTCATGCAGAGACACTGATATCTTGCCGAGTTCATCTGGCCACCAAATCCTGGACCCTCACCTCTTATCCTACCGCCATCCATTTCTCTACCCTCTAGCCCGTACATCATTTTTCCTTCCCCTCCACCCCTGGTAACCATCATAGAGTGTTTCTTTTATCAAGTAAAGCCTTCTCTTAGCAGCATCTTGATTCAGCCCTTACTGCATTTTCTGCTTTAATTTCTGTCTGCTGGTGGATTGAACTCCTTGTAATCCAGGACCCTTTGGAGTAACCCTGTGCCCAGCACTTAGCACAGAAGCAGGGGACCCCGGAGAATGCGGCAATGGCATTGGATAAAGGGATTGTTCCCGAGGACTTCCTGGGGGATGCAGAACAGCAGTTCTATCTGAAAGGGAAGCTGGATGGAGGGCAGTGTGTCTGGGGAAGGCCCACTGGCCTGGGGAGAGCGGGTTCCCAGCTAACTGTAGGCAAAGTGTGATTATATGCCTCCACTAGCAAAGCCATTTGAACTGTAAGGTTGGCGGTTCAAGCTCACCAATTGCTCCTTGGAAACCCTATACAGGGTCGCTATGGGTCAGAACCGATTCAACGGTACTTCACAACAACAAAGTAGGATATATATGTATGTAT